GGGGGGATAAAGAACAATCAGTTATTTTTCAAACTAGGAAAAGGCAAGTTTAAACCACAATTGCTAGCAGATGTGCAAAAAACTGTTTTATCCACCAGGCAGACACTAGTCAAATATTCTAAGTATTGCTTGTATTTTCCAATTGTGCATAATTGTGACAATTGAAATTGTGCGCATTAAAGAAAAAACCTCACCTGGTTCGCTGACACTAGGGAGTTCAATTTTAGGGTCTGTTAATGCTAAAAAAAAAAAAAAAAAAAAAAAATGGGGTGGGGGAACGAAAGAGGAAGACCTGTTATTAATTTAAGCATGGGAAGTGAAAGAACAATCCGTCACTAATTGGATTACGGGTTCAGTTTGAAATTTCACAGGTTACCGAGTACAAAAAAGATTCCTGAAGAAGGCTGGTGTCTACAATAGCTGAAACACAAGTAATACTGGTCCAAATATGCTATTCACGTTTAAGATCAAAATTTCAGTCTTTGCCTTTAAAAAAAAAAAAAAGGGTAAATAAAAAGTGAAATAAGTCTTACCTTTCGAGAGATTATGAAGATCTTCAGCGCCCATCTTCTTCCTTATTAAAAAAAAAAGGATAACATGTTGAGAGTCTGGGACTAAAAAAAACCTTTTTTATTTAAGAAGTAAGTCATTCGATATTTACAGTTTCTGTTAGGTGCATGTTGAAAAAATAAAATAATTAAGTTCTTCCTCTACAAACTTGCCAGCTCCAGAAAGTCAAATGATCCAAAAAGATTCGCATGTTTAGATTGCAATTATTGCAAGTTAATGGAGAAAAAACGTGACACGCACATTTCGTGAAGGAGAGGTCTTCTTCAGTAACTCATGTTCACTGACCGAGTCAACGCTGCATTCACTATTTAAAAGTTCAAAAGGTGGGTAGGTGAAAACAACTTTGCCCGATCACTGAACTATACAAAACAAAGCCTATAGAGTTCATGAAAGCGACGAGTAACAAACTTTCGCATCCGGTTTCCCTTTCACACACTTTTTGGTATTTTAAAATAACGTTTGAGAAGAGTAAAAAATTCAAATCTTGTAGTTCTGTCGAGATGATATTTGTTCTTGCAAAATAGTGCAAAAAAGAAAAAAAAATTACACCTACTCCTACGGAGGAGGAATTAACTTTCACATTACATTGTACGTACAACAATTAGGTTTAAAAAAAAAAAAAAAAATTTCACCGGTAAATCATGTAGCCAGGTTCGAGTTCTTATCTCTTTGCCATTACTAAAATTGCAAGAGAAGAATTTATTTCCCCATAATCAAGTTGAAAAATAAAACAAATCAGAACAGTGCTGGATTCTTAAATGTTGATGCTAAACTTCAGTTAGACCCCAAGGTAGGAGTGAACCATCGTTTTCTTCAGGAAAATAGAGGTAATTTGAACAATAGTGATTGTTGAAACAAGTGACTACATCTGAAAGATGTTTCAATAAGGCATGCGACTATTCTAAGCTAGATTAAGAAAGCTAGGAAAAGAAATTAGATGCGACATTTAAAAATAAAATTTGATACCAAACAGAAAATTCTGTGTTGAAATTGTCCAAAAAAAAAAAAATGTGAAGCTTTTTTTTTTCCACCTACCTGTCTGTCTATAGTTAAAGAAAGACTAAATGTAAACTGAAATTCACCTTAAAGAACTTCTGTCGATGAATTCAAACTCTGGTCAGGTTCTGATGGGTTACACACTCACACATTGGGTAGGGTAGTAACAATTAGAGGTTAAAAGGTAAAAATTAAAAAAATAAAAAATTGTAACCAATCAAGAAAAAGAAAATACCTTGAATTTTGAATTCACATTGAATTTTTAATTTTTTTTTTAATAAGGAAATTTATTTAAAACAAAAGTTTATAAATGTTAGTGAAAAAAAAAATAAATGAAAATTAATTTTTTCCCAAGACATATTTTGGTTATGTTTGTAAATGTCCTTGTGAAAAAGTAAAGTAAAGATGTGTTTGAAGAATTGAAAAATAAAGAATGTCATTTTCGAATGCGAACATTTTTTTAAAATAATTTTAATTTTTTTCATTTTACAACTGTTTATTCCATGGAAGATCAAAAATAAGAATCGAAAATAAAATTCTGAATTGTTTCTTTTGACAATAAAAAAAACGAGCCGCCAAAAATTATTGAAAGTTTGGATTAACTAGTAAAGAAAATAACTAGTTTAAGGGGTTGTAACTAACCTGAAAATATTTCCACAAATATTTCTAATAGATAGGCTTACATATATTGTGAATTGTTGGAAGTAGGAGCAGGGTCATGACCTTTGAGCATGTTGACAATTGAGGCCATATCCTGCTGGGGAAACTTATTATTATTTATTTATTTTTTGCAAAAAGAAATGTTTTTGCAAAAACTAATTAATTAAACCTTGTTTTTCTTTGAAACAAATATCTGGAACAGATAATGAATTTCTAAAAGTGTCTTCATTTCTCTTTTTTTGCTGGCATCAAATTAACTAATTGAATTCGGCAGAACATTTTGTTTTTACTTTTTTTAGTTTTAAAAACGTATAAAGTTTTTATTTAAAGGTATTAGATAATTTTTCATATTTTTACAGATTAAGTATTTTACAGATTAAGTATTATCTTTCAAATAAAATCAAAATTTAGCTTCAAAGGGGACATTTAAGTTGCTTAAAACGTTTTTTAGTCTTCTTTAGAAAGTCTGTGGAGGTACTTACAAAAGATTATAGAGGAAATGGTTAATGTTCCATTTACCGGACACACTACAAGGTGGTCATAAAAGCAATAGAATTTAAAATGGAAAGTGAGATAATTGGGGGAGAAAGTTGTTGTCAAGATAGATGAAATAAAATTCTGCAAATGAAAATACAAGAATGCAATGCAAGAAGAATCCTGTTCAGTTAATGTTTGTTTTAATTTCTGATCATCAACAATCGAATTCTTCTTTATTCCTAATGTATTTCCATAGTCTGATCATTAGCTCCTGTACATTATCACCCTTCTGACAGTAATACCTGTCAATATTTGTGTCACAAATTTCAATGTATTTTTTAACTATTAGAGCAAGAATTTTCAAATTAATCAAAATTGCCAATGAATTAAATGCCTATCAAATTTTGAGTTTGCAAATTTAAAATTTGAAAAGAAACACAAAAACTTTATCTTGATTTTAAGAAACTGCCCTAATCTATTGCTTACATTTATGCATTCATTAAGAACCAGCAAAATTGGAAAAGTCCACTTATTTCTTTTCTCCAGATTCACCAATTATTGGAATAGTTGGTGGAGACTATAGGATCCAGATCCTATATTGTTCTCAAAACTTCAAAAATTAAACAACACAGGCTCCAAATTAAATTACACGACTAATGTAATTTGATTGCTTCAAAAATATTAGATGGCATATCATTGACTATATCCGCACATATGACCTTAATTTGACCTGATCAAAGGTACAGTTGTGCCAAAATTATAAAAACATTTTCTGGGGCCTGTCACATGACTTATATTGCTTATATAAACAACAAACAATTAAAAAAACATAGTGGGGGGGGGAATCATCCGAAAACGCTACGTGACAACACTCATCACAAAATGACTTTCAACTGAAGTCCAGACTAAAAGTTAAAAATCCTTTTTTAACATACCCACAGTCTATTTCCTTCATTCAATACAATCTAAACCCACGTCAACAAACAACGAAGCGACAGACATATCAAACATCAAACACATTTTTTCCATGAACTTTGTAGAATCAGATTCCTACATTTTTTTAATCTTAAATTTTGTGCAAGTTAAACACATAGAGGCTCCCAACCAAATATAACAACTGATGTATTTTGATTGGTTGTAAAATATTAATTAGGTGCCGTCAACTACGTCCGAAGGTACCGACCCAAATTTTGACCTCTAGTTGACGCCATAAAATGTAAACATGTTTACGAGCCTCCCCACGTGACCAAGAGAACTAATAAAAACGAAATTTCGACGCGAATTGGTCAGTGGGCACTTAAAATATTGAAACCAATTCACTTGACTTCATTGGAAATCAACACAGCAAAGGAGACGAACTTTATCTTCAATACAACAACAAACTTTGTCAACCATCTCCAGGCTTAACGCTCACTCCCACAAAATATTCCATTCCACAAGAAGAATCTCTGGTTAATGAGCGATAACTCTATAACAACCAGTGAGTCAAGAACAATACTTTTTTCTATTTAATACACAAAAAAACATCTGTTTAATTTTCCTATAAAAACAAATATAGCGAACTAAACCTTGTCATTTTCACACATACAGTACAGTAACTCAAATTCTTTCAGTAACACACACCAAAGAACTCTATTGTGTTTATCAACTTTTGCACTATAAATTATGTATTTGTTGTGTTTATAGGAAAATATTTATTGTTGAACAAATTCATAATTTCTTCTACTTAATTATTTCTCTTGTTGTTGTCTTTGTTACATTTGATATTGTAAAAATTGTAGAGGGTCAGTTTTTATTACTATTTATAACCAATACAAATTGGCTGACCCCCTATAAATTGGTGACCCCGAAGTTCAAATGTGCAAAGCAATATTTTAAAAACAGCATTTTATAAGAGAAATACTTTAGTTGTCACGTTTTAAACGAAAACAATGGAAAATTCTACCAGCGAACATATTGAAGCGGCAATTTCCATCAGTCTACCGACGTACAACCACACCAACGTTCAAGTATGGTTTGCGCAATTAAACGCAATTTTTAATGCAAGAAAGGTCACGTCCCAACATGCCCGTTACTCTTTTTTAGTTGTGAAACTTCCCCTCAGATGTAGCATTAGAGGTAGCAGACCTCCTCAGTGAAGTGCCGACGGAGAAACCGTATGATACTTTGAAAGATGATATACTATACCGCACGGGCGAATCAGAGGAACGTCGGTTGCACGATTTGTTTAATAACCTTCATTTGGGACACTATAAACCTTCTCAATTGCTTAGAACGTTTTACTAGGTGACAATACCATGTCTGACACAGTCCTCCGTAAACTATGGATGGATAAACTGAGCCCACAAACGTCACAAATATTAGTGTCACTCCCGGACGATTTGGACCTACAGCGATTGGCAGAAATCGCGGACAAAATATATGAGAATAAACCTCCGGGAACTGCTTCTGCGACACCACTACAACCTATTGTCTCTTCAGTCCGTGACTCACAAGAGTTATCGAAAATTAAAGATTGTATAGCCGAGCTTACCTCACAGTTACAAGCTCTACAAACCGCTATGCATCAGCAAAATCGCACACCAAACAATTTCACTAGACGACCACGTCTATCACATCATACTAGGCGAAGATCACGTTCCACATCCAGAGGCAGGCCTATATTTAATACCTGTTGGTATCATTTTAAATACGGAAACAAGCGCAGCATTGTACGAAACCGTGTAACTTCGACATAAACGCAGCTAAGGATAACAACACACAGCAGTCGGGAAACGACTATCCCGGCAACAAGTAGAGACGTTTGCTGCCGGAGGGATGCCAAAAAGTCGTCTCTTTTACATCCGAGATGAGAACTCCGGCTACTTGTTTTTAGTAGACACTGGGGTACAAATTAGTGTAATACCAGCCAAGCCTAATATGTTGACTAGAAAGACAGATTATACGTTACAAGCGGCGAATGGATCTTCAATCCAAACATATGGTGAAACCTCGTTAACCCTAAATCTGGGATTTAGGCGATCTTTTCCGTAGGTATTCACGATAGCCCAAGTTCGAACCCCAATCCTAGGAGCGGATTTCCTCGCCCACTTTAACTTGTCCGTTAATATGTATTCCCTTTCTTTGGATGATAAAACGACCAACATTACAAGGAAAGGAATTACATCTATTTATACGAGCACATGTATCAACGCAACTCTACCTGAAGCCAACGGAATGCAGGATCTGTTACAAAAATATTCTCAAATTACAACACCATTCCGGTATACAGAAACCGTTCGTCACAATGCTGAGCACCACATTGATACTACGGGCCCACCCACGCATTCATCTCCACGGCGATTGAGGCCTGATAAATATAAACTGGCGAAAGCCGAGTTTTAGCACATGCTGGACCTCGGTATAATTAGACCTTCTTCGAGTCCTTACTCATCTCCTCTTCATATGGTTCCAAAACCGGACTCAGGAGCTTGGAGACCTTGTGGCGACTTCCGGAAGCTGAATGCTACTACAATTCGGGATAAATACCCCATCCCGCACTTGCACGATTTCGCAGTGGGTTTGCAGGGCGCCACAGTCTTCACCAAACTTGATCTGGTGAAAGCATTCCACCAGATACCAGTGGCTAAGGAAGACATCCATAAAACAGCAATAACTACTCCTTTTGGCTTATACGAATTTGTGAGAATGCCATTTGGTTTAAGGAACGCCGCACAATCTTTCCAACGGCTTATAGACGAAGTGCTGAGAGGTTTACCTTTCACCTTTGCCTATATTGATGACGTCCTGATCGCCAGTAGAAACAAGACCGAACATCGTCATCACGCAAGTTTTCCAGCGTCTACAGCATTTTGGCCTTAAGATTAACACAGAGAAATGTATTTTTGCTTTTCCCTCACTTAAATTTTTGGGACACGTCATTGATGAAAAGGGAATAACGCCCGTACCTGAGAAAATAGAATCTATTTCAAATTTCTCACAACCAACTTCACTCCGGCAGTTACGCCGATTCTTAGGCCTCATTAATTACTACCGGAGGTTCATTCCTGGTTGTTCCTAGATTCTGATTCTCCTCACAGATTTACTGCAACAACACCGTCAGAAGAACTCAAAGATTACCTTGGAAGGCGAATCATTGACTGCTTTTCACAGAGCCAAAGAAGCCCTTGCCAACTTTACGAAGTTATCGTATATAACCGACGATGACTCAATGATCACACTGACAACAGACGCCTCAGGCGACTCAATAGGGGCTTCACCAAGAACAGGGACATGCTAAAAAACCTATTTCGTTCTTTTCAGTCAAGCTAAACTCATCTCAAAAAAAGTACAGCGCATTTTGAAGGGAATTACTGGCAATATACTTGGCAATCCGTCATTTCCGTCATTTTTTGGAAGGACGGAATTTTGTTGTATATACAGATCATAAACCATTAATTTATGCTCTGCACGCCAAGTCTGACAAATATACCCCAAGGGATATCCGACAATTGGATTATATTTCCCAATATACGTCGGATATCCGCTATGTAAAAGGGGCTGACAATATTGTAGCTGATACCCTATCGCGATCAACGATACAGTCAATCGACGCACAGCCCTTGAATTTCGACTCCTTAGCGGAAGAACAAAAGACTGACACTACTTTGGAATCAGTAAAAGAAGAAACATCACTACAGTTAAAGCAACACCCTGTGCCATTTGGTAACACTACTGTCTATTGTGATGTAAGCACAGGATACTCTAGGCCCTATGTACCACCTTCTTTGCGAAAAAAAGTATGCGAACATTTCCATTCTCTGTCGCACCCTGGTCGATGATTAGTGATTAGTGATCGTTTCGTTTGACCAAAAATGTCCAGTGACATGAAAAACTGGACACAGACTTGTTTAAAATGCCAGCAAACTAAAATACAACGACATACCAAGTCTCTGCCTGGTACATTCTCTAAGCCTGATGGTAGGCTCACCCACATTCACGTTGACTTAGTGGGCCCTTTGCCCGACATTGATGGGTACCAATACTTATTAACAATAATCGATCGTTTCACTCGTTGGCCTGTAGCCGTTCCTTTAAAAGGTATTTCAGCAGAAACGATTTCCAGGTGTATTCTTAGAGAGTGGATTTCTATCTTTGGTTGTCCTTCAATAATAACCACTGATAGAGGTTCCCAGTTCCAGTCAGTTCTTTTCAATGAATTTATAACTTGTTAGGCGTAAAGCACATCTCTACAACCGCCTACCATCCATGTGCAAACGGCCTTGTGGAACGATTTCATAGGCAACTTAAGGCAGCACTAGCAGCAAGTGATGACTCTAGGACTTGGCTGGAAAACCTACCACTGATTTTACTGTCATTAAGAAATGTAGTCAAAGAGGACTTAGGATGCACTACATCAGAACTTGTTTTTGGTAGTACGCTAACACTCCCTGGACAGTTTGTGGAAAAGCATATTCCTTCCAGACCGACTACCTATTTCGTCCAGGATTTTAAACAAAAAATGGAAAACCTAGCTTTTACTCCAACGCGTGCCCAAACAAGGGAGTTCTTTATGCCGAAAAATTTAGACAGTTGTGATTACGTCTTCCTGCGAAAAGATGCAGTTAGAAGACCCTTAACCCCCACGTATTCTTGTCCACATAAAGTAATTAATAGAACGTCCAAGCATTTTACTTTTGCACGGAAAGCCTAACACAGTGTCAGTCGACCGGTTGAAACCGGCTTACATCTATTTATCTCATAAATCGCTTCCTGACCCTGAGCTAACATCTTCGACCCAAGCCAGCGCAGCTTGCACCCTCAGTACCATCCGCGGAAGTTACTACCAAGTCTGGCAGACATGTTCATTGGCCTAGTAGATTTAAAACGTATATTACATCTTGAGAAAGTAAAAAAACTTTCACAATCTGGGGGGGTATTGTAGAATCAGATTCCTACATTTTTTTTAAATCTTAACTTTGTGCAAGTTAAACACATAGAGGCTCCCAACCAAATATAACAACTGATGTATTTTAATTGGTTGTAAAATATTAATTAGGTGCCGTCAACTACGTCCGAAGGTACCGACCCAAATTTTGACCTCTAGTTGACGCCATAAAATGTAAACATGTTTACGAGCCTCCCCACGTGACCAAGAGAACTAATAAAAACGAAATTTCGACGCGAATTGGTCAGTGGGCACTTAAAATATTGAAACCAATTCACTTGACTTCATTGGAAATCAACACAGCAAAGGAGACGAACTTTATCTTCAATACAACAACAAACTTTGTCAACCATCTCCAGGCTTAACGCTCACTCCCACAAAATATTCCATTCCACAAGAAGAATCTCTGGTTAATGAGCGTTGATAACTCTATAACAATCAGTGAGTCAAGAACAATACTTTTTTTCTATTTAATACACAAAAAACATCTGTTTAATTTTCCTAAAAAAAACAAATATAGCTAACTAAACCTTGTCATTTTCACACATACAGTACAGTAACTCAAATTCTTTCAGTAACACACACCAAAGAACTCTATTGTGTTTATCAACTTTTGCACTATATATTATGTATTTGTTGTGTTTATAAAAAAATATTTATTGTTGAACAAATTCATAATTTCTTCTACTTAATTATTTCTCTTGTTGTTGTCTTTGTTACATTTGATATTGTAAAAATTGTAGAGGGTCAGTTTTTATTACTATTTATAACCAATACAAATTGGCTGACCCCCTATAACTTTGAACTATTTATTTTGAATACAATTTTTTGTCCTTTACATTGAACTGAATTTTTCCAAATTCATCCCTGTCACAAAATGCTTGAACTGCCGAAAAACGAAGACAAGTTTATTTATAACTCATTTAAAACAAATTCATAACTATTGTTTTGTACATTTGTTATATAAAGATTTTTTGTACAATTTCTCATCTGGATTTTCTTGTTTCTTTTTCTTGTTATTATTTTGTGGCATTGTGTCTAATAGAAATTAGTCAGAGCAATTGATTCCCACAAGACAAATTTATCTTACCATTCCAATTATCATACATGTAATATAAAATTTTGTTCATGAGTAAAAACAGACAAAGAAAGAAAATGGAAATGTAGAGTAAATTTGCAGTCAGTTTGAGGAATTGGTCTCAACTAACAAAGTAACTTGCATTTTGTGACTCTAGTCAGACTGCCATATAACAAATTTCTTACTCTGATATGTACATAAATTATAACTGAGTCAAGAGCAGATAATTAAATTTTGAAATGCTTCACTAAAAACAATCAAATTATCTTTTCACCAAAAAAGTAATCAAATATTTGTATTAGTCATATGCATAAATAGTTTGGAGTGTTTTTTCAAAATTTGACTGTGCTACAAGCAAAATTTATTGAAATATGAAGACATTTATTGTATATAAAATATTATATGCATTAATTTTTATTTAAACATTATTGTTGTATTCAATTATTACTGATAAAATATTATTACTGAATCATTTTCTCATCATTATGAAGGAGCAAGAACAATAGAAGAGTAATCAGAAAGATGATAATGATTGATATTACATTAAAATTTTTCAAGATCAAAGTTGGCTGGAATGCATGAAGCTGGAAGAGTGTGCCACAAGCAAGTTACAGTTATATCTAGCTAATTCAACTGTAAATTGATGAGCCCTCATACTCTGCTTAAATTCATAAAGTGTAGGTACCATAAAAAAAGCTCATCTGAAAAATTACCATGAAAGTATTTAGAAAAGGCACAAGAAAGCAACTTTACAGTGATGGGAAAGTGACTGAAGCCGAGACTGAAATCAGAATGTTAACCAAAGAAGGTGCAACAAGTCAATCTCCTGGAAGTTAGTATTTGCCATGCTGACGGAAAGTAGAAAGGGGTCTCTCAGATGATTAATAGAGAGCTGTTTAGTTTTAGAGGTGTTAAAATTAACAAGCCATTCTTTGCACCAGTTAATAGACTGTAGGTCATTTATGAGATCAGCCACCAATTTGACCTTATCGAACTGATCAGACTTAGTATTGAGACAGGAGTAAATGTTTGTGTCATCAGCATAGATATCAAATTGAGAGCTAGTCATTAAGAAGGTCATTAATGAAAATTAAAAACAAAGTGGGACCAAAGGTAAAGACGTGGGGGTCACCTGCATTATTACAGAAGATTCTAAAAGAATGGCTGTTCAGGGCAACTTTCATTTCACAATTTGATAAGAAAAAGTCAGTTCAAATATTTGTCTGGTGACACCATAAAGTTGTGAAGAAGACTGATATGCCAAACCCTGTCAGATGTTTTCAATATCTCCAAAGCAACAGCTCAAGTTTCATCATTTTTATTTAAAGCTTGATAATTTTTTTCGGCAATAATTGTCAGTACATCAGCAGTTGACTTAGA